CTGAGAGACCAAGGAGAAGCATTGTGCAAGGAGGTGGCATTTGAGGGTGAGTAGGGCTTAGTTTGCACGTGGGAGAGGTTTGCCAAACAGAGGGAACCACATGGCCTACACTGGCTAAACTGCAGCCTTCATTGTGTATCCGGAGGGCTTATTTTGGCTTTCATATGGGAAAATTAGGATAAAATTGTGAAGTCTGGAAAATTTTTCATATCTTTAAAAATTTGTTGAGTCAAAAAACAAAATAGTACAGTTTGCAAGACCTTCATGAAAAAGAAACAGTTACTTACATTTTGGGTGTTTAAATATCCTTTTTGCCGTTGTTTCATTTTAATTTAACATACCCTAAATATTTTCTCATCATTAAAAAGCACAAACATTATTTTATTACTATGTAATATTTTTAATCTACTTTTTGATTTGTGGGTCTGAAATTATAGTTAATTGTGTAGTTTATCAGATTTTTGTCACAGGCTATTATCCATAACTGATTTAAACCCTATTTGCTGCTTGCCTCACCCTGACTCTTGTGTTGATTGTTTTTTCCCAACAGTGTGAGGTAGATTACTGACAGGCTTGTGATCAGAAGGGCTTGTATATCAATGGATTATACTTAACTGAGGTGAATTTATGCGGGAATCTTACTTCCTGAACTTCCATGGTTGAAGATTCATAATGCCCAAATCTTTTCTTCTTTTGATGTTTAACTCTTTTAGACAAAACTCAGCAACTTATTTTGTCTTATTAATGGTGCTGTCTTGACAAAAGCTCTTGGTTTGGCCATGGGCTTTGTGACAGTGACACCTGGCAGTGTCTTCTCTCCTCAGGAGTTCCTCTGCTCACCTGAGCCTCTGTGATCCTAGTACTGCCTCTCAGAGGCAGGTGGCCCACCTGAGTGTCAAACTTACTCACCTTTGGAGGTCCAGCTGTTCCTGCCTTTCTGCTTAGCTCTGAGGAATTCAGGATTTTGTTTTTGTCAGGAGGAGTTTTCATCCTGCCAAACTAAACTTAGATCCTTTTGAGAGGCATCCTGAATTGGTAGACTGTCTGTCTTAGTTCATTCGGTCTGCTGTAACGGAATGCCATAAACTGGGTGGCTCATAAACACTAGAAGTTTATTTCTTACACTTCTGGAGGCTGGGAAGTCCAAGATCAAGGCCCCAGCAGAATTCAGTGTCTGGTGAGGGCTCACCTTATAGTTCATAGATAACCATCTTCTCACTGTAACCTCACAGGGTGGAAGGGGCAAGAGAGCTCTCTGAGGTCTCTTTTATAAGGGCACTAGTCCCATTCATGAGGGCTCTGCCTTCATGACCTAATCACCTCACAAAAGCCTTACCTCCAAATACCATTACATCAGGGATTAGATTTCAGCATATGAATTTTGGGGGACACAAACCTTTAGTCTATAGCTCTATCACACCAGGCATATCTTTCTTTCAGCAGTTAGTTTAACCATCTCTCTCCTGAAAATTATTCTGGACAATGAGGAGATAGATGTATGAGCTCATGGGTAGTCTGCATAGATAAAATTGAATTGGCTAAGGCACCTCTATCCAGAGAGTGTAGACTAATTGATTGGTGTCAGCCTGAAGGTTATTCCTAAGTCTGTCCTACTGGGCATCTTTATCAGTAACGTGGCTAAAGACCTAAGAATGTATAAGATTACAGAATCAAGAATTATGAAATTCTTAAACTAAAGTAATTAGTTGGAGTTTATTAGGGGTAAATGTAACTTCTAACATATAGTTTGACAAAACTATTTGGGGAAAATAGAAATGCGCTTTAATTCATATTTTATAAAGACAGACAACACAAAGTTTAGGATTTTGGTGGACCAATATTGGTGCTATCCAGCACCATATAGTGTGATTATTAAAAAAAAAATCTTTGGCTGCATTAGTAAAAGATATGATGAAAGGTGGTGGTTATAATCCCACTGAATGGCCGTACTAACTCTCTTGTGGTTGGTTTTGGATTTCACATTTTTGGAAGGATGTAGACAAAACTAAGTGTTTATAGAGTGATGCGTCTCCCAGCCAGAGCTGATGAGGGCTGGTCCAATGAATGTTTCACCTTGGTTGATAATTACAATAGCTCTTCCAAGCCATGTTCCATAAACAAGAAAACCTGTTTACCAAGATGTATTTTATATTTGAAATGGCCTGCTTTTGCCAAACACATATATCTATAGCCCTCTCTTCAGTTCTTTGAAATAGGTCATATTATTCCCTTTTATAGATGAGAAACTAGATAATCAGAATAGTTAAAAGACACGCACAGCGTATTTATGAAGCTAATGAAGGGTACAGCTGGGATTTAAAGTTGGGCTATTTCCATTGTACCATTCTGCCTCTGACATGAGAATGTGGTGCTGCTTATGAGCAGGTTAATGCCTGAAAGGCTCTTCATAAGTCCCATTTGTTCATAAGTCCAAATGATACTGTGGTAATAAGAACCACTATTTCTTGAGCACTTATTACATGCCAGACACTTTCCTAGGCTCTTTGCATATGATTTATTTAATTCTCACAACTCAGTAAAGTTGTTGGCATTATTATCTCTACCCTGCACATGAGGAAACAGACAGGAAGAATAAGTAGAGGAGCCAAGCTGAAGAGCCCACACTTTTAACCATTGTCCTGTCTTTGTTCTGTGCCTTGTGTGTGTACAGAAGCGTGCAAAGTTTTTGAATAGAGGGAATGGTAATTCTTCATGGAATTGGCTCAAAGATCTCATTATTTTCAGCTTTAAAGTTTTTTCTTTTCAATTCAAGTCTGTTTGTATTTTGGCATTCTTCTTTTCCATTATAAATAAGTTTATCACAAACTAGGGCTTTAAACACAAGCCAAAGCATGGCAGAGATTACTGCAGCTGAACTTGACTGCTCTAGTTCTTAAGTGGTGACAGGCAGTGATGATGTTCCCCGACCTTGGAACTTAGTTTTGTTCACGCAGTGGTAAGTGGAGTTGTCTGCAATGATTTTTTTTTTTTTTTTAAAGATTGGCACCTGAGCTAATAACTGTTGCCAATCTTTTTTTTTCTGTGCTTTTTCTCCCCAAACCCTCCGAGTACGTAGTTGTATGTTTTAGTTGTGGGTCCTTCTAGTTGTGGCATGTGGGACGCTGCCTCAGCATGGCTTGATGAATGGTGCCATGTCCGTGCCCAGGATCCAAATTGGTGAAACCCAGGGCCACCAAAGCAGGGCATGTGAACTTAACCACTTGGCCATGGGGCTGGCCCCTGCAATGATTTTCGAAAGACTATGTATCATATGGAAAAGTAATTATTAGATTGAACCATATGAAATGGCCAATATTTAACTTTTTCTAACCTACAAAAATGGCAAATTTAAATGGTTCAAAATTCAGAGAAACCATTTGTATTTTGTTTTAAGAAAGAATTATAGGGTATATTGGAAGTTTGACTTTTGAATTTCTCCACTGATGTGCTTTTGTTGTACAACTGTTTGTCTAAAAGTATGTATTCCATTTTACTTCATGTTACTTTTTTTCTCTTAACTGTTCTCTTAACTGGTTTGAGCCTCTTTCTTATATCTCTTGTCATGGATAGAAAGTGATTTTAAGGTGTTTTGCTTTGTAGTGTGTGTGTAATGTTTTACTTGTGTTAAATTGCCTGTATAACAGCATCCATCAGATCATTGAGCCTACCAGTTTTGTAATCATATCCTAGTGCTGATTTTGAAATGTGGAATATGATTTAGATTGAGTTTAAGAATTTTTTTCTTCCTTTTGATTATGGAATGGTACTTAAAAGATTAGTCATAATCTTTACCAAAGGTTCGGCATGCTATCCACTTCTGATGGAAATTGCATCAGAATTCAGAATTCTACCATTGCATTTAGGAAAAGTTTGATTCAGTCAAGAAAGGGTATTCTTGAGTGACCTAATCTATAGAGTAGGAGTGATTTGAGTTTAAGGGTGATTACTCTCATTGGGGTGAGGGCTTTGTGAAGGGAGTCTTCAATAAACTGTTTCTAACACACATGAAGTCTTTGTGACAGCTTTCCTTTTTGTCATTGATGCATGACAGACCATTGCCTTTTGTTTATTTGGTTTTGGGCTCAAACTTTTTTTGTTTCTTTGAATTTGATCAGTCTTCTGAGTTTTCCTCATGCCTTCCAACTCATTCAGTTTTTTTTCCCCCTTACAGCCTCTGAGTCCTTTTGGTCAAAGTACTGGTATGAATCTCAAAAGCTCCTTTCTAAAACCTTTGCCACAGTTACCTGCTGCTTGTGCAAAAGCTGTTTTAAGATCCCTTAGGTTTCATAAAGAGATCCCACCAGAATACTCCCTAGTTCTGTCCACACACAGGTATCAGGATGGTAGTAAGTCTTTACTGTAAATCTGGTCCAACTCATGAATAATAAGTGCTGGGTTGGGATACCTGAGTTTTTTAGGACTTTCCGGTTTTTCCCCCAAAGTCTGAAACCCTGAGAAAGTATATGGCTGCTTTTGTTTTTTTTTTTTTTTTTTTGAGGAGGATCAGCCCTGAGCTAACATCTGCTGCCCATTCTCCTCTTTTTGTTGAGGAAGACTTGCCCTGAGCTAACATCTGTGTCCATCTTCCTCTACTCTTTTATATGTGGGATGCCTACCACAGCATGGCTTAATGAGGGTGCCATGTCCGCACTGGGGATCTGAAGTGGTGGAAACCGGGCTGCTGAAGTGGAATGTGTGAACTTAACCACTGTGCCACTGGGCCGGCCCTCTGGTTGCTTTTAAAAACAACAACAGCAACAACAACAACAACAAAATCTGTTGATCTATTCTTTCAAAAGATGAGTCATAGTTGAGTGTCTGTTACTTACCCTAAAGTTGTATCCATTCTCTTGAGACAGTAATCTTGGCAGGTAATGGCAGTCTGGTTGATGTCTCCAGCTGTATATGCGTGCTACTCTTTCACTTTCTATTGCCATTTGTTAATGCATGTACTGTAATAACTAGGATAATCACAAGGGATCTTCTTTTTGTTTTTTCAGTAACAAATACTTTTAAGAAAACAGATGATTTTCTGACATCTAAAGCACCAACTGTCGACCTAGACCACAAATTTAGGTGCAAGGTTGTGGATTGTTTGAAATTTTTCCGCAAAGCCAAACTATTGCACTATCACATGAAGTATTTCCATGGAATGGAGAAGTCACCAGAGCCAGAGGAGAGCCCAGGAAAGAGGCATGTCCAAACAAGGGGCTCTTCAGCTTCAGACAAGGCCAGTCAGGAGAGCCTGACCAGGAAGCGAGTCTCTGCCAGTTCCCCAAGTAAGTATTTTGCTTCTGTGTTGTATCTGTATCATGGAAGCCTCTGCTGCACAGGTCACAGTGCTTTCATTTCTGACACACAAAGCAGATATTAGGTTGGTCTCATCCATTTGAATCCCAAAAGATTGAAAGTGACAGGTGATCCCTAGGAGTTGCATCATGGAGCTGTGGCCCTCCTGGAGGAAGCAAAAATACGTAAGTTTCATTCTTACCTCAGCCTCTTGCTGCTCGAGTTACCTTGAGAAAGTCACTTAGCCTTTGAAGGCCTTGGTACTCCTAGTATGAAATGAGGACAGTCAAGGAGAAAGGGAGTTCCTTCAGAAGCCAGCAGAACTCATGCTCAGAACATCATGGTGCCTTCATCCCATCCCCTAAACCTATGAACCTATGCCCGATCCCTGCCAGCAGGACAGAAGGACAAAAGAGCTAAAAGTTGGTATGTGATTTTCCTGTGAGACTCAAATTTGAGTCTGATTTCATTGTAATTACAGCTGAAGCTGTTTCCTAACAGCATTGTTTATTTTACGTAGAAACTACAATGGTGGTAGTAAGGATTACCATAAAATCTCATGTTTGTGTTCTATTATAGATAGAGAACCTTTCTGGAAATTTCTTCTAAAACCTGCAGAAACTGAAAATTACTTGTTTCTGGGGGATTTCAGAAGAATTAATGAGTTTTTGATAAATTTTGCAAGGTTCCCAGCCTTTTTTTTTAACTGAAATAGTAACATCACTGTATATTTTTTGGCTTATAGCTTTTCCCTTAAAATACATTGGTATTAGATGGCATATGGAACTCCTGGGGTATCTGACAGTGTTACTAAGGAAGTATAAAATCAGGTTTCAGGACAGTGAGGCAGGGCCATGCAGACTAATGCAATCTCTGCCTTGTGAGAGGTCAGTCCTCAGCCATGCTGTGAAGACATAATGTGTCAAGGTTGAGGTGGAGTTTGGCCTAGTCATATGTGCTGCATTATCCATTAGAAGTATAATGTGAGCCATGTGTAACTTTTTCTAGTGGCTGCATTTTTTGTGTGTGTGTGTGTGAGGAAGATTAGCCCTGAGCTAACATCTGTGCCAGTCTTCCTCTACTTTGTGTGTGAGATGCCTCCACAGCATGGCTGATGAGTGGAGTAGGTCTGCACCTGGGATCCAAACCTGTGAACCTGGGCTGGCAAAGTGGAGTACACTCAGCCACGGGGCTGGCCCCTCTGGTAGCCACATTTTCAAATGTAAAAAGAAACAAGGGAAATTACTTCTAATAATGTATTTCATTAACTCAGTATATCGAAGATACTATTGTTTCAGCATGTAATCACTATAAAAATTACAAGTAAGCTATTTTATATTCTTTTTCTTGTACTAAGCCTTTAAAATCCAGTGTGTATTTTACACTCACTGAATGTTTCAGTTGAGACCAGCCACATTTGAGGTGTTTAGTAGCTGCATATGGCTAGGGGCTCTGTATGGGACCCAGCAGCTCTGTTACCCTCAGCTGTAGGCGGTCTAGCTGTGCCCTTGGTGAGTCCAAGCATTGAGCTAAAAATTGCTGCCTGAGGAAGGCCACCTGGTCAGTAGTCACCCAGGAGGAGACTTCCTGTGGGCTGCAGGGCGTGGCAGCAGTCACCATGTTAGTGACTTCACCAGAGTCCTTCTCAGGTCCCCACCCGTGGCTGGATGTCTCTCAGAGGGGGCTGATATGAACCAGATAGTGGTAGACTGATGCTCAAGGCCAGTTGCCTATTACTTACTTAAAACGAAGCCCACAGCTATCAGAACCCCTTCTTTTCTCTGTCTGGTTCAGACCTTGTGTAGGAAGAGAAAGTTGCTTACTGAGCATCAGATCAGAGCACTGGAGTTAGAAATGCCTCAAGATAAAATAGATTGACTTGTTCATTCAACTCCTATTTATTGAATGGCTGTTATGTGCCAGGCTCTATTCTGGGCACTACAAAAGAGTCCTAAGTCCTGTTCTGCCTGATGCTCTTGGTTGTGGATATCTCTGGCATAAAGAAGAAAAGGTTGGCTCAGTTCTCAGACCGGAGCATTCTCTTGCCTGGGCAATGCTTGTTTCATTTAGGGCCAAATGCTGATACTTAAGGATGTTAATGTCTGTTACTGGCCAGCCCCGCTGACTTTGGTGGCCATTCTGTGTCTTAGGTGAGTTTAAATCTCTCTGCCATTGAATACATGGTTAATTCTGGGGGCAAGCTTTTTCCCTAGAACTTGAGGAACCTGGCACTGAGATCTCCCCTTCCCCCATGTACCACCTGGCCTAGCTGTCACCTGGAGCCGTGACTCACCCAGCTGCCTGGGTGTCACTGGGTGGCTTGTTAAAAATACAAATATACTGGGCCCTGTTTTCCAGACATTCCAATTCAGTGCCTCTAAGTTTAGAATCTGTAGTTTTTGTACTGTCTACTCTCCCATATATAAAAGTGACATATGATTGCTGTGAAACCAATACAAAAGAATGCTAAGGGAAAAGGTCTCCCTCCCCTTGGCATCCCCGCCCCCACCCCACGCAGATGTAGCTATTTTTTAACAGACAATTTTATGACTTTTCAGATATTTTCTGAGCATATCCAAACGTATATATGTCTAAATAGAAAATATCTTTTACACAGTTGGTATCATATGCAACTTGCTTTTCTCGTTTAAAATATCTTGGCCCTCATCCCATGTCAGTATAGATACATGGCTTTACCTCAGTCTGACAGTTGCCTGTATTTTATGCATACACTGTACTTTAAGCGTTCTTCCTACAAAAAATTTACATTTTATCGATTTTTTTCAGTCTTATCAAGTGCTAAAGCAAACTAAACCTCCTCAAAGATTAATTTGCCCTTTTACATAAATTCATGGGATAAATTCCTGGAGGCCAGATTTGCTTGGGCAAAGGTGATACAGATTTAAACTTCTGATGGATAATGCCAAATCACCTATCAAAAAGTGTATCCCAGTTTGTGATCTCTCACCAGTTGGTTACATGTGTCAGTTTCTTTACATTCTTGTCAATATTAGGAAATTTTAAATTATTGCCAATCTCACAGGCAAAAAATATTTTGATGATTTTAGTATTTTATTTAAAAAATTCTGGAATATTTTAAACATGCAGAAAAGTATACAGGATTATATAGTAAACGTGCATGTATCCATCCTCCACCAGACTTAACAAATGTTAACATTTTGCCATATTTTCTTCAGGTTTTTTTTTTTTTTTTTTCCTGTGGAAGAGTTGCCCTGAGCTAACATCTGTTGCCAGTCTTCCTCTTTCTGCTTGAGGAAGATTGTCCCTGAGGTAACATCTGTGCCTGTCTTCCTCTTTTTGCTTGAGGAAGATTTGCCCTGAACTAACGTCTGTGCCAGTCTTCCTCTACTTTGTATGTGGGTCACCACCACAGCATGGCTGCCGATGAGTAGGGTAGGTCCATGCCCAGGAACCAAACCCAGGCCACCAAAGCAAGCATGCCAAACTTAACCACTAGGCCACAGGGCCGGCCCCTCCTTCAGAAATTTTTAGGGGAGACAAAACATTAGCGTGAAGTAGAAACTCCCCAAATTGACTTTCCTTTCTTTCCCCTTATACTTTCCCAAATATGTGCATATATTTTGAGAAATAATATGTAGTATTTTGAGTATCATATTAGCATGTATAGAGTATTTTGTGCGTTTTAAAGATATGCATGAATAGTATCATCATACCTACTCTTTTGGAACTTGCTACTTTTGTTCAGCATGGTCTTCGAGCTTCATCGAGGTTGAAACCTGTAGATAGATCTCATTGACTCTTTAGCTAGTGGATAGTATTGCATTGTTTTCTCTTTGGCACTCCCACTCCCTTGCAGATGTAAATTTTTTTTTTGGTGAGGAAGATTGGCCCTGAACTAGAATCTGTTGCCAATCTTCCTCTTTTTTGTATGTGGGACACCGCCAAAGCATGGCTTGATGAGCATTGTGTAGGTCCACACTTGGGATCCAACCCCACAAACCCTGGGCTGCCGAAGCAGAGCACACGAACCCAACCACTATGCCATCAGGCCAGCCCTGTAAATATTTTTTAACGATAGAAACAGTCATGTACTGCATAACCATGTTTTGGTCAACAGCAGACCACATATATGATGGTGGTCCCGTAAAATTAGTATCACATAGCCTAAGTGTACAGTATGCTATACCATCTAGGTTTGTGTAAGTACACTCTGTGATGTTTGCATGATGTTGAAATCACCTAACAATACATTTCTCAGATTTGTGTTGAGTGATATGTACAGGCTCGGAGTCAGCCCACCTTAGTTTAGTTCACTCCAGCCTCCACCACTTGCTTCCTCCATGACCTTGGACAAAGAACCCTGCTGAGCTTCAATTTCCCCATCTGTGAAATAGGGATAATAGTGCTACCTACCTCAGAGCTTTGTTGCATTAGATGACTTAATGTAAACTACTTAGCACCGAGTCTGGCCTATGGTAAACTGTTCTGTTGGGTTTTTTTTGTTGAGGAAGACTGGCCGTGAGCCAAAACCTGTGCCCATCTTCCTCTGTTTATATGTGGGATGCCTGCCGCAGCATGGCTTGATAAGCAGTGTATAGGTCTGTGCCCAGGATCCAAACCGGTGAACCTTGGGCCACTGAAGCGGAACGTGCGAACTTAACTGCTATGCCACCAGGTGGGCCCCTATAATAAATTCTTAATAACTACCAGCTCTTTATTTCAGTGAAAACATTAACCCAGGCAGTCAGAGATCTGAGTTCTAAACTCAGCCAACTACTGATAAACCATAAAACCAATACACAAGGGGTTGCTATTTTGGTACAATTAAGAAATCTGAGTGATTGATTTTCTACTTTTAAATACCACCCCTCGGGTCTGATACCAATATACTGACCTTGGATTTTATTCTGTCTCTTAATACAGAAGGATCTGTTTCATTGGGGTTTGGAAATCTCTTGGGGAATTGGGGATTTTTGCCTGCCAGTTTTTTGATAACAAGAACTGCTGT